TACAATCACTGATGCAAAGGCTTGCCAAAGAAGAGTATCAACTGCTGCATGAGTAATAGCACGCTGGGTAGCACCTGGTTGCTGTAGATGATCGACATGAACTTAGGATATGCTTCAACATCAAAATGCATATGGTTTTCATTTGTTTCATGCAAACTAAACACAGTGATATTAGTTCATTATTAAGTAATAATTTTTAATTATTTACCTTACTCATTTTTGTTGACTTATCATATGTGTCTGCAATAACATATGCTGATGCAACTCCATATGTTGACCTAACAAACCACAAAGGTGTCAGGGCTCTAAAAGCTTCACCTACTTCATTAGCATAACCTACAAGAGGGACAAAATGTTTTATAAGCTTCATATTCATACAAAGAATGTAAATTACGATCACTCTGAATAATATACTTTGCTGAAAATACTTATTCTTCTAGTCATTTTCTCCATCATGGGAAAGATTTGCATGCACATAAAATACAGAAAATGTAGTATAAATACAGTCATAAATAAAGAGACAAAAGGACTGCCAATAATTATAAATATAATAATATTTCACCTATAATGACTTCTAAGTTTGTCACCCTTACAGCCTTCCTCACAGGCCTAGTAAAATAGAGAGAGACAGGGACAGAGAGTGATAGAGAGAGACAGAGTGAGAGAGACAGAGTGAGAGAGAGAGAGAGAGAGAGAGAGAGAGAGAGAGAGAGAGAGAGAGAGAGAGAGAGAGAGAGAGAGAGAGACAAAGGGACAGAGAGAGAGAGAGACAAAGAGACAGAGACAAAGAGACAGAGACAAAGAGACAGAGACAAAGAGAGACAGAGACAAAGAGAGACAGAGACAGAGAGACAGAAACAGAGAGACAGAGAGACAGAGACAGAGAGACAGAGAGAGAGAGAGAGAGAGAGAGAGAGAGAGAGAGAGAGAGAGAGAGAGAGAGAGAGAGAGAGAGAGAGAGAGAGAGAGAGAGAGAGAGAGAGAGGAGATGAGGAGAGAGAGAGAGAGACTGTGTGTGAGTGAGTGAGAAATAGTGTTTTTCCATGAATATCCTACTAACATGGTTCATATTTTTAGGTTTATAGGTTTACAATGGGTATATACCATTATAACATCTCTTCTATGGTAACTATTTACTTTACAATAGATTATCAAAGATATTCATATTTGATACTAAAATTTATTGTAATTTTCAGTCACTCGACAAGTAACTTACCAAGTAATCGGACTGGAGTGTCACGATAGATATCAACTTCCTTTTCTGCTGCCATTTTGCCTGGGGGAGAAAAAATGCAGATCTCATAAGGAATGGCCATATTTGCATAAGATACTATTTCCAGCACAAGGTCTAAAATACATTTAGCATCTAATACACTTATGTACTACTGTACATAACATAGTATATAGTTTGCCTTTGTTTAGTGCGTCCCTACCATAAATATTAACCCCTTGCTGACGAGGAAAATAAATAAAAAATGGGGAAATGCTGTGCTCATTTCTTATATTTTTTGTGAAATGTCTCTACACATAGATGGCTCTGCCTTACCTGATTTCACCTTTCCTTGAATTGGCGAGAAAATGTAATTTTTACAAGTATTATGAATATCGATGGTGTTATTTTTATTATAAACATTATAATTACTATAATGTTATAAACATTAGTAACAGCAAAATAAGATAACGTAAAATATTTTCGAAAATTAAAGAATAGGGTGAACGGGCGAGACAGGCAGTACTTGTAATTGGCTTATTAGTGATTTAGTACAAGTGTAGCCATCTATATGTAAAAACAATCAAACAATTAAATTCACAGTGGACATGGAATGTACGTACATGCCATGCCCGTCGGGAAAGAGTTAACTACTCAAAATCATAAATCTAAAGCAACTGTGATAACAAAACTTTAAAGACAAAACCAACATGAATTTACTATAAGGGGATAATGAACAATTACCAACTTGAAAAATGAATAAGTTCGAACTATGAATAGCACTTTCCCTTGAAATTATCTCTGCAACTGGTGTGTATAATAAACACCAAAATAACATGAAGATATCTCCTTGACTAATTTCAATATACCAATTTCACAATACTAGTTCTCACGTAATGCATATTATCTTTCTAATCTAATCCCTCAGAACTCGAAAGCTTTAGCCCAACTGCCCAACCGGGAAGGGCAGACCACTGTACAAGCATTAAAAAAAAGAGAGTGATTACTGGGTAGGCATGAAATTGGTAATTCTGAATAATTGGAACAACGTTTTCGATACAATACTGATTTTACAGACCTGTCAATTCCTTCTGTATTCACAAAAGTTTAAAATAGTAACTTGTAGCTATCTCTGATATAGGCTCTCAAGAAGGATAACCTTGTGATTTTGTAGTGCCTGCGAAACCGCGAGGAAACTGATATCAATGAAAATCATATAAATAAATAGCTTGTAGACAAAATGCAGTGCTATATCACACTTGAAATAACAGATTATTATACCTTCTGATG